GCCCAGCGCACCCAGCAGGACGCCACGGCTGCCCTGGGCCGTCGCCTGCAGAACATACGCTGCTGGAAGGCTGAGCTCCGGAAGGAGATTGAGGACCTCGATGGCGAGACCAGACTGCTGGCGGCCCAGAAGGTGCGGCTGGAAAGGGCGCTTGATGCTACCGAGGTGCCCTATGCCATTGCCACCGATAACCTGCAGTGCCGGGAGAGGAGGCAACCCCCGGACCTGGTCAGCGATGAGGTGGAGAGGGAGCTGCTGAAGGTGAGCAGGACGTTAGGACGTTAAGGGTGGTTGGCAGCCCTCTCTCAGTGCTGCCATCTCTGAAATGATGAGCAGCTGGATCAGTAGGTGATAGCTGCAGCTCATGAAGATATCTTCTGGCAATGGATAACCTGCAGTGCCGGGAGAGGAGGCAACCCCCGGACCTGGTCAGCGATGAGGTGGAGAGGGAGCTGCTGAAGGTGAGCAGGACGTTAGGACGTTAAGGGTGGTTGGCAGCCCTCTCTCAGTGCTGCCATCTCTGAAATGATGAGCAGCTGGATCAGTAGGTGATAGCTGCAGCTCATGAAGATATCTTCTGGCAATGCATAGAGGCCTAGTGCCCGTTCCTGGCAGCCTGGACTCTGTCACTCCTAAGTTTAAGAGGGATCTTTTAAAATCCTTCCTTTGTTTAAAAAGTATTTAAAATCACATGATTAGAGGAGACCAGATCCCCCCTCTCAGACCAGATCCAGACAAAATCAAAACAGAGGTTTCCCAAACCAAGATGGGCATCCTGTTCTGGCATTAAACTTCTTCCAGCCTGTGTGGTTTGAAGTCCCTCATCTCTGCAAGGTACACTTTAAAAATTCAGTACACAATAAGCAGGCTATTCAGGACCCGTGAAAGCCTCCTTGCCTGTTTGCACGCTCAAGCTGTCCAAATCTGGCAATCTCTGGCATTACCTTTTACTGCTGAGCCTGGTGCTGTAGTCTCGCCAAGGTTCATGACGAGGTGGTGACCCAACACTGAACTGCAGTGTCTGAACAGAAATCCTCGTGTTAAACCTCCTGCAGGACAGCACAACAAACAGTCCAATGTAGTCTTGTGACACCAGCATGAGGTGATAGCTCCGGGCAGGCGGGAAGGCACAGGCAGGTGGTATTTCTGACAGTGTGACTGCAACAAGCCTGAGACCCTCCTGAAATCTGCTTGATGCTTTTCCTCCCCTAGACAGCTCTTTACTCCAGCTGACACTTTGTTATCTGTCACTGAGATCCAGCGCTGCATGTAGATTGCCTTCAAAGCTGATGTAATTATTGTGGCTGCACATATTACAGAGAACAGATTCTGGGTCATTTTTCATTCTGGAATCATACATATTCTGGTGTCTCACTAATAAATTAAGGATTATTTGCCTGCAGCCTCCAATATACTGTGAAAGCTGATTTTAGATGAGTTACTGATTAAACCAGATGATTAATATTTGTTATTAGAAAAATATCGAAGATACTTGCACAGTTGATGGCATGATAGTATTTAGCAATAGGAATTTTAATAGGAATTGTGCACAATTTCTGAATTCTAATCAATATTTAAGAGGTTGTTCCCGTCGAAAATATGAACATGTGAGAGTTAGTGTATAGGGTATTTCAGTGTGTGAATTCTTACAAGATTCAGATTACAGAAAAAAAAATATTTTCATCAGCTGCTGATGTTTTAGAGAAGTCTGTGAAATGTAAGATTTACACAAAAGAATGATTTTCTGGCAGGATTTCTGCCCAGTATTTCTTTCCTCCTGATCTCAGAGAATAGTTTGCTCATTGCTCAGAAGTCCATCTGCTGCTGCTGCTGCTGCTTCTTCACCTGAAACTGTGATGGTCTGCTTGTGACAACAGACCATCGACAGCCAAGTGGGATGTCATCAGAAAAGAATGATGTGAGTTCAGATGAGGCGTGTGTATCCTCAGCAGATGGACCCCTGAGAAATGAAGATTTTGTTGTCATGCCAATGACCTTTGCAGTGCAAAAGGAAGAGGAGTACATAATATCTGAGGAAATCCTTCCCATTTCCACAGAGGAATGAATTTTATGACACCAATGTTTGCAAATAGATTTTAAAATGTGCCCTCTGTGGCTCTGCCAGCTCTTTAAGCTGCAGCTATACTCTGTCCCTCTTTCACTGCAAGAAATCAGGTGGTACCTTGTATTTCTTACTCTTTGCAAAACTAATAACTCTTGACACTTAGAGCTGCTCTTCCATGAATTCAGGCTGTTCACTGCACAGATTTCCAAGTTAATGGCCTGGTTCACTGATAGATCTGTGTTATATTTGCTTATTTGGAAGAGTTATGCAATTTTTATCACTAAAGTACTGACATACTTTTTCTGAATGTTGCTTATGTGTCCAGTCACTTTCTAATCTTAACTCTCATAAGTCAATGCAAGGGAGATCAGGAGTAATTTATTCTCTTCCCATGCAAAAACTGAGACAAAGAAGAAATAGTTTCCAAACTGTTCCCGTGTTAGGAAACAGATATTTTTTTCCTTGCAGTTTTAATTACACAGTTAATTGATATTCTAGGGCATTTCCCTTCCTTTGAAATTCTTCTTCTCCTACTAGCAGCCCAGGCTTATGTTGGCATCATCCTCTGGCATCTTTGCCGTGTTCCTGCCAGCCCCCATGGACATGGGGACTGGGGAAGGAGCATGTCTGCACAAGGGACTACCTTTCACTCAGTCATGGGAAAACTTTCCATAGGATGCAGGTTTTGTTCTTGCTTTCAGCTTTCTGCAGCAATGGAGAATATTTCCCTGTTCCCAGAGCATCTTGCCGAGTTATCCACCTCTCAGCAGCCCCTTGGCAGATGACATTTAATAAGACAACATCAAATACACATCTACAACCAGTTTTGAATCTCTGCATGTGATTGCATTTTTATTATCTGTTCAGTAGGAATCACTTCAGATGACTCACAAAGAAAACAGAAGTATCTCTGAGGAAGGTTTTATTCATCCAGATAATATTTAGGGTTTTCCTGGTTTTTGGCACACCATCTATTTCTTTTAGGGAGTTTTGGTTCCAACTCATCTGTCCTATTTGCTTTGCAGCAGGAAGTTGTATTTAGTTCACCTGTGGCGATACATACCACCACTCAACAGCCACTGCTGGAATGAAGGATGAGGGCATTTAGGTGAAAGCTCCTCACATGTGTAGTGAAATCAGCTGTTACTCAAAAGTTCGTTGACTCCACTTAACAGCATATTCATCTTTTCTTAATGCAGTTCTGGTCAAGAAAAAGAAGCAGTAAAGACACGATTGTTTTTCCAGTAAAGAAGGATCTTTGATGACTGAAAAGAAGATAAAATCTCTCAAATAGAATAATTTTATTTCTTTGTGCTGCTGCATTGGTAATGACTGAATTCATAAAAAGCAGTACATGCATCTGTTTTGTATGAGGTTTTTGACTTTCATAACCCATGAGACATCTCCTCTGAATCCCCTTTGCATCAGCTTAATGACAGTTTAGTATGTTTATGTGCACACATTCAACACTGGAAATGTAAGCTCTGGAAAAGGACTTGCCACGTGGTGGTATACAGTCAATAAATCATGTTTCAACCGCATATATTCTGCATTGCAAGGTTATTTCTGCATGTCCAGTGTCCAGCTTCGTTAAGTGAGTGCCAGATACGACTGTAGCATAAGCAGATGTACTTACGTTTATGCCGGTTATTTAGCCTAGAACTGTATTTGACTCAGAGTGTTGATTTGTTGTGTGTTTGCTTCAACAATGAAGTCAGCCCCAGCTATTCCCTGATGCTGAAGACAAAGGCATTAGCCAAGATCCTGTCAACTGTGTAAAACTAAAGTTTAAAAAAAGTGGAGAAAGGATACGTACGTATGTATTCCTAACTGCAATAATGGGGCAAGGAAAACAACAGAACAGCGTTTCCAAAGGCCGTGGTCAGTAGCTTTGGCCGGTGAACCAGTGCACAATAGCACAGCCCTGAACGCAGACAACTCAGTTAAGAGCGTGGTGCTAATTTTCAACACCTGCAGGTTGTGGGTTTTGAAATGACTCCCGGAGACTAGCAGGAAAAAGGCCAGTCACAGAGCTGAGATTTTGAAGACTGTTACCTGCTTTCGCTCCTGGCTGTAATGAAGAAGTCGTCTTGTTACACGCTGTGTGGGAGTCTGAATCAGTGAGATCCGCACGCTGGCTTGCTCCTACTTGCTGTGCTGATGTGTGGGACATCTGGTGTGGTGTTGTAACTGATGGATGGATGCAGCTGGGTTTGCAGTCAAGGGCGACCGCACAGCCTCCCCCGCGGGATTCTACCAGTTCCTCTTAGCGGCTCTCTCGCTGTGTCGTTCTGGCCCTGGGTGCTGTAGTTAGAGATTGATGACATCTGCAAGTCGCTGATGTAAAAAGACAGGCTGCAAAAAAACTGAATTTGTAAACTCATGGAAGGCTCAAACATCTGCTCTTAAACATTTTCTTTGCACCATTAATTAGACACAGTTATGAACTGGAATGGTTTTATCACTAGATTTGAAAAAAATCCAACTTTTGCATCATAAACATTAAAGACTATAATAAAAGAAATGGCACGCTAAACTATAAAGTATTCTTTCTCTGTTAATCGACAACCATTTATAATGGGAGGTTTATTATTCATATTAACCACTGAGAAAAGAGCAGAAGAGAACACAGCTGAAAACAAGCCAAGATCACTTCAAAATTGTCAGTATCTCATCTTAATAGCGTGTGAAGACATATATGGGAAAAAATAAGTCGAAAAGAAAGACATTTCATCCACCAAGTCCTATTCATGACGAAATGCAAATCTATGTTGTTGTTGTCCTCTGAACCAGAGGTGCTGCTAGCTACTAAAACTCTTTCAGATGCTTTTATTCTCTTAATGCAGGCTGGGCCTTCAAATGAATTGCCAATACAATTCTGTACACAGACTGAAAAAAGGTCTTCTGTTCTGCCGCTTGCTAAAACCCAGCTCTGTCCCCGGGATTTTAGTGTGGAGTCACTCACATCTTTGTGGCTGAAATCACAAAGTCTGGGAGAGCTCTGCTCCCGGCTGCAGCTCTCTCTGCCATGGTGGTTGATGGAATTTGCTCTGCAAAGAAAATGTGAAGGAGCAGACATGGTATTTTAGACGTTCTGCAGATGGTGAATGAGGTTCCCAGCTCCTGCTCTTCTGGCCGGCGTTCCTGCGGTGGGGACCTTCTCGCACGCCGATGCCACGGGCCAGCCACAGCTAGGGCTGGGCAGCAGGCTGCCAGGACCGAGGGACCTAGATCAAAGCATCTTCATCTTCAGCCTAGTGCCACAGCTCCTCCCAACCACACCATCTGACTTTGTACCGGTTTTAAAGTTAAGAGAAATTATTTGGTAGACAAGTGTTGAAAATTCATTGTCATTTATGCTTGCTCATTCACTCTAACTAGTCTTAGACTGCCATTAATTATGAGAACTGTATCTTCAGTTTTAAATGTCATATTTGTATGTGTATCTCCTCAACAGGGAATCCATTTTTAAATTTTATTTTAGGTCATTCAACAAGGGAATTCTTTTTTTTTACATTATTTCACTCTAAAGGGGAGAGACCTTAATTGCTAAAGGAAGGCTTTTCTCATTCAGTGTGCACATTACTCACAGGAAACTGGTTGTCTCTTTATTTACATGGAGACTGACTACCCAACACAAAATAATATCAATTACTATAAATGTAATTTTGAGTGCTGGATCTTTCTAACCCTTTAAAATCCTTTTGAATTTTTACTTTGGCAACTCAGCCATTGCAATACTTCCTCCCTGCAGAAAGTGAGCTTTCGTGTTCTTACAGTTTGTAAAATGATACCTTCAGCTGTGTATTGGTTTCAGTTGTGCTCTTTTAGAGCCTTACAAATAATATTTTCTTTCCAATCATTATTGTCCTTTTCCATTTAGAATAAAATGATCCTTTTAATGGTCCCTGTTGGTTCCTTATGATGGAGAAACTGACACTGCAGGGACATACGCACTCATTTATTTGTCAAAAACAGTACAAGGGTCAATGAGTGCCAGCAGTGTTCTGGGAATAAAGTTTATTAGTAAGTGTATACTCCCTTAACTGTCACTGGATGACTGTCATTTATGTAAACCAGCAAAATTAGTTAGGATTTTTTCATATACAAAAGCTCTTTTTGATATCTGAGCTTCAAATATTAAATTCCTTTAAATAATAAAAATGGAAATGCTTGCTGGGCTGGCTTTTATATAATAATATGTAACCACCAGGTCAGTAAAGTCACTTCATAGAGCACTGATAGTTAATCCCTAAAGCAGCATTATTGCAGTCAAAAATGAGCACTAGGTACTTTTTGTTCAACAAGAGATTGTTAGAAAATGCAGCCTTTTTTGGTTTGGTCTTGTTTCTGTGGGTTATCAAGGTGAGACAAAGCTTTGACTTTGAGCAGTCACTGTCTTGCAGCTCAGAGGAAATTAACCCCTCAAACAACATTGCATATGTGAGAGAATTCTGCAGTCCTCGATACTGTCCAGCACCAGGGGCAGAATGAGTTCTGGAATAAATAGATCTAATAGAAAAATGAAAGCTATAACTGTCATTGGGTTTATATCACAACAGCTTTCCTCTACCTACTGAAGCAGGCAATAGCTGTTTAAATCATGGAGTAGCAACTTCTATCTTTAGTTAACACGAAGCATTCGAAGGAGGCAGGCCAAGAGAAGGTTACGATGCTGCTGCTCCGTCGTGTTAAAGAGCACCGTATCACCATACGTCAGACAAGCTCTGTTTCTGAAGTTCTGCAGGAATCTGATGGGAAGCCTCTCCCTTGCACACGGATAAAATGCTTAGTGCAGCACAAGGCAGTGGGCTCCGAAGGTATCTGCAACGACTTGGCAGGTTCTGGAAGCCAGCGTCTTGGCAGAGAAGCTGATCTGCTGTCTCACATCCCTCGGAGTTGGTGCTTGCAGGGCAGGCAGTGTCCTGCTCCCTTGGAAAATGGCACCGTGCGCTTGTGCAAGGCAGTGACTCTGGTCCCCTGCCCAGCATGACGCTGTTGCCTTATTTTTCCCTTCTTCAAGGCTGTGCAAGTAATTCAGATATTCTGTTTAATCTGACAGAACATAGACTTTTTCATAGAATATACATGCAATATGAAAATAAAAAATCCCCAGGCTTTAGAAGTGTTCCAGATATTGCTGCTGACTTTACTTATAGCCGATTTCCCTCAGTATCTGGTAACTCCTTGGAAAATCGTGTCTTGCGATAATAGAGTAAGAGTGGGTAATGAGCGGGAGATTGAAGTATTTATCCACAATCATTGAAATCAAATTGCTCTGCGTGATAGTATGTATTGCTCTGGATATCACAGAAGTTTCAATGTTTTTATCTAGGAAGCTGAACTTATCAGAAATATCCAGGAGCTTTTGAAAAGAACTTTGATGCAAGCTGGGAACCAGATGCGGTAAGACATTTTTCACGACAGCTTAGTAGCTAATTTATATAACCAAATAATTCCTGGTGTATAGGGGTACAAATGCCCAGTGGATAAAGAACTTACCGATGCCAGGCTTATGAGCCGTGTGAATTCTGTTTAAATCTGAAAAGAGGTTCTTGGTGATGAAACTTCAGGATTTTCGAGTAGGGTAAGGTAAGAGAAGAGCCATGCCCTAAAGCCATGCTTTAGATTTTCAGTCCCAATTTCCAGGATGTGTATTCAGTTATCTGATTTTCCAACACTAAACTTAAGTGCAATAAAAGTATGATCTGGATATCACTCTACCTTGTTGCACCTTGTGATATATTTGTAGTACAGGGTCTTTTAAAATACTTTATCTGATCAAAGGAGGTTTTCCAGATGAGTTTTTTGCCACCAGATGTCAGTAGGAACTTAAAATATGAAACTTCACTCTACCTGCTGTACCAGGATGGATGTTCATTGCATTTCAAAAGGAATATTCGCTTTTCATTTATAACAAGCCCTTTGGAAAGATATTACCCAAATCCTAAGATGCATCAACACGAAGGAGTTAACTGCTGTAAACCTTGATATTTTAGTTATTAAAAATTTTTAATCTGCTCCAGTTTGTGCTATTCTAGCAGATAAAATTAAATATCAGTTTTAGAAAGAATGTCTATAAAGGCAAAATAATTTAAAGTAATTCTGTTACATCAATTAGAGTATGAGAGGAGTCTACTGAGTTTAAGCTTCACTTTTTGTAATTGTTTTAAGATCGTTTTAATACCATTTAGTACCATCGTTTAGTGTCATTGGCCAGCAGACACTGTTTAATTCCTTAGGTGAGAGTGACATCTGGTGTTAACAGTGGATAACGACCCATTCTCCTTCATAATCTGAAGTCATTCCCATTAATTGGGTGATGTATGACTCATGTAATTGACAGCAAAGCAGCAGTTTTAGCTCCGAGAATCATTGTACGTGTATATTCCAAGGACAAATGACACTGTCTGTGTCCTGCACTCTTTGAAAGGCTAGATAGGAGGGCTCGGAGAGTGCTATATGGTCACTTCATGGAGGTCTTGAATTTGAGATGGGCTTAATATAGCAGCGAAAGAGGAGGACAGGTCTTCTGCTAGCACTACTTGATGTCTTATTGTGGGAAGAGTGTTCTGCTGGGCAAAGCTCCTACCTGTTCTCCTCATAATAACTACGGCTGTCACCACTATTGAAAACATCCTGTGGATGTTTTAGGATTATTATGTAATATTCAAAGTCCAATAACTCCTTTGTCTCAGGCTGTGAGACCTCTAAGCCTTCAGTAAGCACAGAAAAGTACTGAAGGTCTAGGGCAGTGGTTAACACATCAAGTTTACTGTCCTTCTAGCAGATAGTTGTGGGAGAGAGAGTTTGGTTAGGATTTTCCAGACAAAAAGGAAAGTTTATGTTCTCATTGCTTTTTGAAAGGTAAAGAGCCTAGCTTCACAAATGTGTGTGTTACTTTTGTTAATTGTATTATTTTCCACTAGCAATGTGTGATGATGACGACTTTTCAGATTAAACCGAGATCACAAAGAAGTTTGTGAAATGGACTGGTCAGACAAAATTGAAGCATACAACATTGATGATACGTGTGGAAGATACAGTAACCAAGGCACCAACATCCAGTTCCATCCCAGCTCAGTGAAGTTTGAAGAGAGGTGAGCAGTTACTGTCATTACCCTCCACAAATAACCCTGGCAAGATGCAATACACCCTTTGCGTCAGTGAAAGGTGTAATGCTGCTCCGAATTAAAGGTGTGATTGCTGCTTTTTTGGACATGCAATGTCACAGCTTTAAAATAGCTACACGGATAGCAAAGGTAGTGCTAGCATCTCAGCGTGGCACTGCTGATGGCAAAGTTGGTTCACTATATGCAGACAGTTTGTAGAAGCTTTTCTTGGAAATAATTGGCTTTATACTTTTAAAACCTGATCTAAATCCTCTTGAGACTTCACGTTTGACATCGTCAGGCATGCCATTCTTTCGGGAAAGGCACGTGCTACTTCCTCTACACAGAGACGATTACTATTACTTGTAATAAATCTTGCAGCTTCCCCTCCTCTTCCAGGCAGTGTTCGTATGACACAGTGTCCCAAGAGCTACATAGATCCTTTTGCTGCTCAACATGACAAAGTATAACGAGACATCTTGTTTCTTTTTGTTTGAAAGTAGACACAGACTGTAAAGCTTGAATATAATTATGTGTGTGTTTGCTGGTGACTTAACTGCTTGTGCTCGCACAAAAGAAGTATGTGTATACATTTTTTGCCTTAGTAGTATTAGCTACAGATGGAACAACTTTGGATGATTTTGTGTCATGTATTACTTTACCTCAGAAGCCACAAGATGAATGAGAGTTTATTAATTTTGTAAAGGGTTAGTCTTCTTCGTTCATAGTAAGTCTAGACTGCATGCAACACAGCAAAACCAAATAGAGGTTGACAACACTTTTGCAGGGAGAGAACGAGCTTCAGATTGTCTTCCTAAGTGCAATGTGAACAAAAGAGCGAGGTTCCTATTTGTATAGCCTTCACCTCTATTTGTATACCCTTCACCTCTATTTGTGTACCCTTCACCTCTGCTTCCAGTGCCTCAACACCGAAGACGTGGGCCAAGTTCAGCCATGACAACATCTATAGGGCAGAACAAGAAAAACTAGCTTCCATCAGTCTCCGTGCCTTGATTGACAATATTCTTCACGACGTGTCTGAGGACCTGAGGATGCAATGCGCTGCTGTTAATCAGGCCTTTGCCAGACGCTGTGAGGAGCTGGATCATGCAAAATACAAACTAGAGCATCATTTGAAAAAAGTAAGTATTATTTTTGAAATGCTGGCTAGAGATGCCATAGCCTCTTTTGAGAAGATCACCGTAGATTTATCCTCTAGAAAAAAATGTCTTAGTCCATGTCAGGTATTGAACATTATTTTGTGTCAGCTTAGTATCTGGTAAGAGTCTTTAGAGCTGGATTATGGCCCCAATTCAGCTTTTTCTGCCATCTGTCATGCTACTCTAAACAAGACATGGACTTAAATATGAAAAAAATTAAACACTTCCTTCCATGTCTCGCTGAACTAAAACCTAAAACCGTGTGATCAAGGAGCTGATCTTTCGGCCAGCATTTCCAGGCTAGGCTGGTTATCACTTTTATGGAACGAAAGCCATGCTGTGCTGCAGTAGTTTTATTGCAGCAGTTCCTGGCAAGTGAAAAGAGGTGTCTTCAGCCTCTGCCCCTTCTCTGATGTGGAGCAGCTCCTACTTCCGAGTTAGGCTATTGGCAAGTGTGGAAAAAATAGTCATTCCTTAGCACCTGTTGGGTAATGACAGGTAGCTAGACTTTACTTTTTGCCCGTGTGTCAGGGAGATGGGATTCAGAATTTCCTGTTTTTTCAATTTTCTTCACTAATGCCAGAAATCCATGCATTTCTAAGATGATCAGCAGTTCTTAATCTCATTCAAAATAACTTGTTTTATTTGATAATTTACAGTTAAAATTTACAATTAAAAGCAATACGTGGTGGTGGGATATGTTGTCAGGAGACATGGAAGAGTTTTTGAACAGGCTGCAGAATATTTTCTGCTTCTTTTTAGACCAAAGCTCACATTCTCAGTGTAGTAGTAGAACTAAAGATGTCAAAACCACCTTTATGCTTCTGTTTCTTCTATATTCTGGCCCAATACAAGATCAAAACTGTAGCTGACTCACTAGGACCAGGAACAGATGCATAGCATGCATAGAGGCAATGTGGTTTTTTTTTCAAACAGTGCTTTCTCTTGGGTATCCTCTTTAGATCCTTCAGGAGATTGGAGATCAAGAAGCTAATGTTGCTGCTCTCAAACGAGCGATCAAAGACAAAGAAGCCCCAATGAAAGTTGCTCAGACCAGGCTATACGACAGGTCTTTTAGGCCCAGCGTAGAGCTCTGCAGAGATGAAGCACAATTCAGGTAAGCACTATTAAACAAGTTCTCCAAGGTGTCCATTTTATCCAGAAGTGAGGTTAGACAGCTTTCACACGTTTTATTGGCAACACATGGCCTTCAGCTTTTATTACTAGGTTTGATTCTGATGTAAGTCAGAAATAATTCAGTTGACTGAAATCACTGTGAGGAAAATATCATGTTAAGCTAATGTATTGACAAACAGAAAATCTATAGACTCAGCTCTGCCTTTTGTCTCTGCGTTTTCTTCTCTGAACTGTGTGGTTTCTTTTTGATGTAAATGATCCAAAAAAATATTACAGCATGTGGATCATTTGCAATCCTTTTGTTGCTAAGTGAAAGTTCACCACAAGGTGGACTATGGGCTGAATGAATTATGCTTCAACTGCTGAGAACGTAAATGGGCTGCACATACGCACAGCCTCAGACAAGTTCCCAGTGCTGTGAAGCATCGGGCAGGTAGCATTTGATTTTCAGTAATAATCCGTTTTAAAACTGGAGGTCAACAAATCCTTTCAAACTAAAGGTCTGAGTGTCACATTTGTCGGTTTTGATCTCATTATAAGCTTTGTAATTGATTCTCCTCCGTCACATTTGCCTGCCCTTAGGAAAAGCGGGGAATCAGCTTTTGCAGGTTTACAATATCCTTGTAGCAGAGGTGCCTACCATTCAAAGCCAATACGCTGCTCTTTATACAGTGAGGAAGAAGTTATAGTTAATCCAGATGCTTTATACCGTCTCAGGCACGCTCATTTAAGGTCCTGATACAGCAAACCATCCGTGTGCAAGCTTTTCCGTATGTACATTGCCTCTAATGGGATTTAAGGACACATGCAAGCCCTTTGCTGAATGGGCATGTGTTCAGTTGCTGGGCTTATACTGTTTGTAGTTACTCAGTTTGCACAGCACACAGGGATCTTGTTTTCCCAGGGAGTAAATATGTGCCTTCTCTGCAGGCAGATTGCAGTAAAGCGCCTAACCCCCACTGACTTTTAGTTGAAATGAAGTGCTGCTTTAAAAATGGTTTGCTGCCTTTTTTAAAAATGATGTGCTGCTGCTTCTTGAAAAGCTTATATGCTTTTAAAGTAAAGACTGTTTTCTGATCTCTGGTGCAAGTATGATCTTTAATACTTGAGTTTTATACCAGTGAACAGATATCAAAAAAAAGGCTTAACAAAATGCTGACCCAGTCGAACTCAGTGACTAATCTAACAATTTTTGTCCTGTAATTCTTAGTACAAGTGTCCTACGCAGTGGGAAAAGGTGAGGATGGATAGTTCCACTGGGCTTAGTGGCAAAAGGCATTCTTGGTACTGTCTAAATCATGGGAGACTTCTGTCTAGAAGCTGTGACAGTGAACTCTGCTTTTGACCAAGTGTGTAGGACCTCTCTGAGGTCCTTTGTTGTTCAGTATTATGATTCGATAGCTGTTGATCTTTATTCCCATTGCAGTTCAGTGTTTTTTTGATCGCTGACTGGCTTCTGCTCTTTTCTTTATCACTTAATTCTGTTCAGGTTGATCAGTGAAGCTGAAGAACTAACAGAGTCCATTGAATCCCTGAAGAAAAAACTGCTGGAATCTGAACAGTCTCTGAGGAACCTGGAAGACACACGAATGAATTTAGAAAAAGAAATAGCTGTGAAAACAAACAGTATTTTTATTGATAGACAAAAGTGCATGCCCCACCGCACACGCTACCCTGTTGTTTTTAAATTAGCAGGTTACCAGTAGTAATCTCTGTACTAACTATGCAAAGTCTGGAAGAAAAAGTACTCTAGAATCTTTCACATAAAATACATGGATAATATTATACACAGAACTACTGTATTCACTGTATTTTCTTCTATTTGGGTTAAAATGCATTGGTATAGTGACATGGTGGGCTTTGAGTCTTTAAAAGTTCTATAAAACCTTGCCTGTAAAAGTATAGTCAGTTTAAAACACAGTTCAAAGGTAATTCATTATATCTAGAATGTATCTGTATTATATATGCATAATTTGCACAGTATGTGATATTTGGGGTTTTCACCCCAATAAGTGAATATGTGGAGTGAATATTTATTGTGAATAATAACAATATACGCAGATGTAGATATAACATTTATAGCTTGCTAGCATTTTCAAGCAGCCTGAAAGAGCAATAAAACCACTTGCCTGAGAAGATCACATGATCAGCAAGCAAACAGATGATAGGCTTTTAAGCTACTCAAACATTATTAGTTTTAAAAAAAAAAAAAAAGTTTGCACAGGTTAGATGACGATCTGCCCATTGGCAGAAACCTTCCCTGTCCGTGACACCTGCTTATGTAATCTGAAAATGAGTCCAAGGATGGTTAACCTGCAAGTCAATGCATTTAGGTTTTTTTCAGGAAAAAAAAACCCTAAACAGCTTGTGAATAGCAATCGTGACTTTCAACTTAAGCACTCAGATGTTGAATTGAGCTCTTGATCTGTTCCAGCTATTCCCTGGAAGCAAGGCCTGTGTTTGAACTGTTACCCCTAATGGAGAACACATCAGATTCACCTGCTCCAGTAGAGCAATGTAACAAGTGTCATTCATCCATTCGCTTAGGAGGCCACTTGGTTAAATATGTGATGTGTCAAAAAAGGGGAAAAAATGACACAGAGCAGAATTCCGTTATGGTTTCCTGTATTACAGTTTTTGACTTTTAAAAAGCAGCTGATCAAAGAGGGAGAAAAAAAAACTCAAAAAGCCAAACACACGCAAAACATACCCTGGCCAGCATGCATTTCTGAATAGCCCTGCTCTGTTAACCAGGGAGGAGAGGCCATTAGCCCATCTGTTTTTCTCACAGACAACTATTTGTATTATCTTAGCGCAGGACGTGCAGAGCACTGTTCAGCGATTGCCCTCCTGCTAAAAGCCGCTACCATTTCTTTGAAAACCAGCTGTGTTCAGTGAAGGCTTTTGACCCAAGCCCGTATTTTACACGTTTTCTGTTCAAGAGTTTTGTTTTGCTTTTTTAATAGATTTCCCCTTCATTATTATATTTTTATAATCCAGGTGTTTAATCCTTATTAGAGAGAAAAGGCATGTAGATTAAAAAAAAATGTGGCTCTAGTGTGCTTTCCTGTGCACAAAACTTAAAATGGTTATGAAGGATTATTTCTGTAGACTGAAAACATTCTCCTTCATTCTGCCTTTTTTAAAACACCTTCAGCACCTTTCTTCTTGGCAGCATATTCTAGCCCGTTCTTCCTGCTCAAACCTTGCAGCCTAATCGGTGGATCACACACCGTGTCTGCAGCTGCAGCACTGTGTGGTTGTCTCTAGAACCGACTTGAGCCACGCCAGAAGAATAAAACGCTTTAAAGAGCGTTCCAGTGTTCAGAGCTGTGGTGTTAGAAGAGTTTCAGCCCTTTAGCCCCAGCCTCGAGACAGTTCTGCTTGTTTGGGCGCATGTACGTCTCCACGTGTACACATAAAATAGAAGGAAAAAGAAGACATCGAAGCAGGCTTTAGACTGGTGGGAATGTTGACAGAAACTTTGCAGAAAGCACAGAAAGAAGCAACATGTTAAAATTGTCCTCACTCACCCATTAAAGAAAAAAAAAGTGGAAACAAAGTGGAACTTGGGTTATGGTTATGGTAGATGGGATGAGAAGAATGTCCAGTCCAGGATGTGAAACTATTATTTTGATTCAAGAGTTTTCCATTAGAGAGAGGAAAACAAAAGTGCCGTCATTTCTCTGAGACTGTGCTGAGTACAAATAACCTTGTGCCCCTTATTGGATTGTAAATGGAGCTTTCCCTAATTAAAGCCTATCAGTTTAATTTACCTTTGTGAACTAAATTAGTCTGCCCTTGCTTTAGCCCAGTCAAGGAAAATCCTGCTCTGGTAAACCTCATACGTTGGCAGGAGCGTAATCACTGCCCCACTCACATGGTAACAGACGAATAGGAGCAAGTTGTAAGAATGAGAATCAGATGGAATAGTTCAAGTTTCAGTAACTATTTTTTCTTTAATTACTGATTTAAAAAAATAATAATTAAAGCCACAGCTCTAGCATGTAACTACGTTTTTTGTATTTTTTTCATAATTCACTCTTAAGCTGAGGATTTATCAGGAAATATTTGAAAAGATGTTTTAGCTGGCTCTCGTGTGAGCTAGGGCCACAGGTGAGCTATAGCTCCCAGTTGTCTTGAGCTCTGCCTGTTAATCTGTATGAAAACCGTGGACTTTTTTTACTTCATTAGGATTTTTTTTTGTTTATTATCCTGAGAGATTTCTGTTTATGAAGACAAGGTTCAAGTTCAGGGAAGTCTGAGAGTTTTCTCGTCTGCTTAGAGGCAGAGGAAGGAATTAATGGTGTGATCAACGAGACCTTATAATACCTGGTAAAGGAATTTCAGGAAAAACCAGGAGTGAAGACCCTTTAAAAATTTATTTGTTGCTTAAGAGCAGATGATATTCTGCAAGGGGAACAAAGGTTACAGAGAAATGGGAGATAATTTTTGTGTAGTATTTTCATCATGAATTATTGATTTTCTCGAAGATTGGAGCTTAGAACAACTGTCTAATCATTTCAGCCTTGTACTGAAGGTCACTAAAAAATTTAGTACCAAAGTGGCAGACACCAGCACCGAGATGCCCAGGTGAGATTTTTCAGAAGACTCTGTCTCTGCTTTTGGACCCCTGACACATGGTACTAACAATACCTGCTTCAAACCTTGATCTTTAATTCAGGCTACGTGGTAAATAGCCACACGGACAGCCAGTAACACCAGCTGCGTCTTACAGAAGAGATCTGAACATGGGCAGTTTTTTCTATTGTTCTTCAAGACTGTCTTTGAGGTAATTTGCAGTGTAATTGCAAAATAACCTGCAGAGAAGTGGAAATTATTTTTAAATCTTTTCCTGAGCAATTTTTCCAAGTAATTTCTGGGTAGTCTCTTAGCTCTGCTGGCCCCTGTAAGTAAATTGCATCCAAACATCGGTCTTAGCAGTAATAAAAGTCGCAGTAACAACTTTATGGCCATGTACAGTGCTCATTAGTGGCCTGTTTTATTCCTGGGATTTGTCTGATTGCCAGGTCACACGCTGGGCCCATGGCAGGCTGAGAACAGGAGCAGTGAAGAACCTTGAGAACAGAGCCAAAAATTCCTCACACAAGGGTTGTTTGCAGGACCGTTGCAAGGTTGTTTGCAAGGCTTGTTTCCATACATTAGATGCCCTTTTCCATCTCCAAAGTGGCAAGACGGTCTTCATAGCATGGAGGAGAAAATCCCAGCTGGACAGGAATGAGGAGAACTGGCTAAATAGCGAGAGGTCAGTGCGGGTAGTAAGTCCAAGCACAAACAGCCTGAGCTGGACTTGCCATTAATTACATCATTGGATGTATTATTTAGTAACTAAGTAGCAGTTGATAAACATACGCATCTTGAAAATTTCTTAAAGTTTTTTTGGAAAATAGCTATCCACTATTTATCATTTGTCTTCTTGTTCAGAGTTTACATACATGAATTTAACAGATATAAAATATTTCATGTGCCCAGGTACCCAAGCAAACTCTGACCGATCCACGCTGTGAGCAAACTGTACTTTGCTCTGTTGCTGTTCAAGCTACTAAACCAACGCTTAAGCCCACGATTAACCAAGGGGGTTGTGAAAGCCTACAGGGAAGGTTGCCTTCAGCACACCACCTCACAGTATCTGCTCGCTCCATGCTCCTTTGTTACTGCAAGCTTTGTGCTCTCGCTTCTCTGGGAACACACTCATCACCGAATGAATGAGTAGTAATTTATCTCATCAGAAGCTTTTGCATCTGGTTCCTTCAAAGACAGTTTGCCTGAAGAAAGGCTTCAGCGGGACTCCTACATTTAGGCTGCTCCAGGAACTGGGTTCACACCTCGTAACCTCTTCACCCAGACTGAAACACTCGCGATGTGCCCGAATGAGAGCTCATCCTTTGAGATGCTGGGCGCCTTTAATTCCCACTTGCGCCTGTTGTCTCAGGAGGTGTGACCGGCCCTCAGGATCACATCCCGGCTGCATTCCGCCCTGGATGAGGAAGGACAGTCTGTTCTCACCATTCTGTGGGTGATGAATGCTGTTGTTCCTATGACAACCTCACTACTGCATCCTTATTTAAAAAAAATCATATCTATAGGGGGTTACTATGATTTGTTAGATGTGCCACGCACATGCACTTTAGTGCTACAACTTCCTCGTAAGCTTTGCTTAGAAGAAAAAATACAGGATGACAGGAAGAGTAAGTTACATGAATATTTAGGAGCACTAGACAGTAAGAAAATTCCTGTGTGAAGCAAGCCCATGCTGACAAACATTTTGAGACACCTGGCTCCTAAGACAATATTTTAATCCCATGGGTTGTGATAGGAATAATGAAAATTCTACTTTTGCATCATCCATGGTACTGTTGTGTTGTGAGAAAAATCAGCCGCTGCAGTAATACCCTCTGCTGCAGAGATGGTTTTTAGTCCAAGCACTTACAGTGGTAACAGCCCCAGACTGGGGTTATGGAAGTGTGCCTGAGCTTGCCTGGCCTTCAGACCATGCCAGGAGACAATTTGTTTTGGGGACAGTGGCAGGGGGGGGGCTGCAGCTTGTTCTTTGGAAATGCAGAAGTGTGGCAATTTGCTGGAGAATTATTCCCCTTCGGTTCCCCCATTTGCTCTTTTGCCCTTATGTCTTGCCGTTCAGTCATGTCAAAAATGCGATGTCTCTGCTTGTGATGCTTCTTCATCTATGCAGAGAAACTTTATCTTTTCTATTTAATGCCTTTTGATGTCTGTTTGGAGAAT